GACCGGCAACGGGATCGCAACCCTCGGTGTTGCGCCCACACCTCGCTCAGCCAGTGAGCAGTCGGTCTGTACGTGGGATCCGAACCCTCGGTGGGATCCGAACCCTCGGTGGGAGCGCCACCGTGCTCCGAAGCGGTGCACTGTAGCAGTGCGCCACTGGGCCGGCCCCTGGTTTTAATGGTTACATACCATTAGAGAAAACCCTGCATTTGCTGGGAGCAGGGTGCCAGAACTGAGAGCCCTCCATCCCTAAACACACTAAGCCAGGACCTGGTCTATGTCTTTTGTCTGCTGTAATAATTTATCACCATAAGTCTGCTCTTACACAGATTTGAGATTCAAGTTTACACTACCTATTTTTTTTATGGGAATGTTTAAGCCAAGAAATTAACATAAAAATTAACATAAAAAAAAGATTTTCTATGGATTACTTGGTAGAAGCCAAGCAAAATCTTTTCAGAGGGAGCATCTCTACATAGACCTTACAGAATTTCTACAGAGAACACCCAACTGTGGATGAGCTCACAATTTAAAAATACAGTCCACTTCTTCCTCACCCTCATCACCCCCAATCACGAACAAGGTTCAGTAGACCAAATAGCAGGATTTGGCATTTAAGAACTTAAAGTAATATACTTACCACATGGAGACCATAAAGGAAAAATATTTTAAATAATTACAAATATTAAAGGAATTAAAAAATCTGGGAAGACAATATTAAAGATACCAAACTGGTTTGAATTAAAAGACAACTTTGCAATAAAAAATATAGCCACACTGATGTTCAAAACTTAATGGTTAGATGTTAAGGTTTGACAGAGTTAAAGAGAAAATTGGTGAAGTAGAATGTAGGTCAAAGGAAATTACACAGAATTCAGGAGAGAGAGAAAGAATTAGAAAGTATTAGAGAGGTTAAGAGATATGGAGGAAAGAAAAACATTCCAACCCCCCCCCCAAAAAAAAAAAACATATTAGGAATTCCAGAAGAAGAAATTAGAGAAACCGGAGCAAGAGACGATATATGAAAAGGTAATAGCTAAGAGTTTTCCAGTAACTATAAAAGACACATACTCTCAGATCCAGGAATCCTAAGTCCCAAGCAGGATAAATGAAAAGAAATAGTATTTCCAAGATTTCATTTCAATTTGTTGAATGTGGAATACATGTTTTTCTCCCCTTCCTCTTATATTCTATTAAAATAGTTGCAAAGAAAAGAAAAATTTCTAAGGCTGGTTACCAATTCAACCTGTAGTGAAGCACTGAGTATGTTCATAGGCTGAAGGGAACAAATCTCCCTTAAGGTATGAAATTAAGAACATGGATAAGAGAGGAGGCCTCTGACATCAAAGGTAATGGAGTAAAGCTGGGTACTCATGTAGGTGGGAAGAATAGGAAATTTCTTGTTGAAGTAGCAGGAAAAAAACTGAGAGTTGGAAGGAACTGTGTAAAGACGTTGGGCAGACTGATAAGGCTCTTCCATAATTGTTGAAGAAGATAGGAGAGGGAGATTAAAAAGGAGTAAAATAATTTTCCATTTCTTGGTGGACAATGAAGTGTTGGGCAGATGTTTATTACTAAAATTTCTGGTATGTGCCTTTGCTGTTTAACATCATTCTGGAATTACTAGCCAAATGAACAGACAAGAAAAATATAAGTATCAGATAAAAGGAGAAAACGTGTATATGCACATTATAGCTAGACAAACTGATTCTAAAGTTAAAATGTAAGAATAAAATTTGAAGATTAGCCACAGAAACAATGAATAATAAAGACAAGGAAGAAAGGGAGAAGAGGAAAACCAAGTTATTTAAAAAATTACAGTAATTTAAACATTTGGGAAGTAGCACATAAATAGATAAAAAAATGGAACAAAGCAGAATTCAGAGGTAGACCCATAGAAAAATAACATTTTGAATCAGTGGAGAAAAGGATGCCTTATACACTATATAGTATTGGGAGAAAAATACTGGATTCCTATGTCGTTATTTATACTTAAATTCTGGATCAGCTGAAATGCAAATGTAAAAAATGACACTACAAAATAAAAGAAAAATTCTGAATAACAATTTTGCAGTGAGAAATGCAGCTCCATGCAAAATACCAAATTCAAAACCATAAAAGATTAGATAAATCTGAATACATACAAATAAAACATTTCTGCATGGAAAAATACTATACACAAAGATTAAAATATTGATAAATTGGGAAATAATTCTAAAAGTATGTCAGCAAAGGGATAACCCTAATATGTAAATTGCCTTTAAGAATCAACAATACAATAGAAAACTGTGTAAAGGACATAAACAGGCAATTCACAGAGAAAAACAGACTTGAAACATCGGGAAAGATTCTTAATCTCATTCATAAATAAATGCAAATTGAAATAATAACGGAAAAACTTTTCAGCTCAGGTTGGCAATGATCACCTTTGACAGGTGTGTGGCGAAAAACAGTATTATTTGGCAAAAACTTTTGGGAGGCAATTTAGTATTCTCGAATAAATTTTAAAACTGTATATATCTGATCTAGCAGTTCTATACAGATAAACTCTTTTGAAAAAAAAAAGTACGTCAGTAAGGATGCTTAGTATGTCAAAAGATAGAAATGCCTATTGATAAGTGACCAATTAAAATTATACGTTCATACAATGGCACACATGTAACTATGAAAAAGAATATTCATAATAAAATATGTATTGAATGCTTATGAGCTCGGAACTGTTCTAGATACTGAGGATACACCTGTAAACAAAACAGACAAAAATACCTGCCTCTCATAGAGCTCACATTCCAATGAAAACAGATAACAGCAAGATGCAGAAAAGGGTGAACAGTATGTTCATAAGTATTTTAAAGAAGAGGGGGGAGAGACACGTACACACACAAACATACACGTTTGTCTACGCACGGAAAATCTCTGGTAGGTAATAAAAGGAACCGTTTGCCACTGGGGAGGACTGGAGGCTTGGGAGGGAACTTTAGTTTCCTGTGAAAATGTTTGTTTACTACACATGCATATTAATTAAAATTGGGGGTAAAGGAGGAGAACACCACTTCATATTTTCAAAAAATCGCTAGTAAAGTCCTCGGAGCCCCGGCGACTTATGTGTTTGCGTTGCAGTCTTCAAAGTACGTTAGGCAGAAGGTTCTCGCCGCTTACACCGGCAAGTTCGCTTGGGACGGGAATCAAGGGCTGGCCTAGCGCAGGTAGTGGACGAACGAGATGAGTTAGCCCAGTGTGCGGAGAGCCCTCTGGGGCAAAGCACAAAGCAAAGACAAGACATATAAAACCTGCGTTTAAGTGCTGACTCAGAGAGGAAAAAACAAGGGCTCTAAGGGAGCGTTCCGAAGGCGGGGCAAAACCACGCGTCACTTTCCCAGCGTAAAAGACGGCCAAGCCGAGTCTGCACTTCTGCGCCTGCGCCTGAGCTTGCGCCTGCGCACACGGCACGGCTTTCGCTCGCGCGGCCGCCGGGAGGCGCCGTCAGGTTCGCACCGGTTCTCAGGGGTTCATAGGAGCGAAGGACGCCCTTTTCCGGGTCGGGAACGGGGAAGAGAATCACTTCCTGTGAGGGCGCTACGTCACTTCCCCTCAGGTTCGGCGTTTGGGCGGTGGGGACCCACGCGGGTTCAATATGCGTATCGAAAAGTGTTACTTCTGTTCGGGGCCCATCTATCCCGGCCACGGCATGATGTTCGTCCGCAACGATTGCAAGGTGAGGCGGCCGAGACCAGCCGAAGCCCAGCCGCGTCCCCGCGGGTCCGGGGCGCGCCCGCTCGGCGCCAGGTTCTTCTGCGCCTTCGGGGTTTGCTCCCGGTGCCCCGCGCTGCTCCCGCCAGAGGGGAGAGGGCATTCTAGGTAGGAAGAAAGCGAACAGTTTGAGCAAAGGCACAGAACGGGGCAGTTACATCTCTGTTTGAGAAAGTGACTGGATTGTAACCGGTAATCGAGACTTGGGTAGGGCTGCAAACACAAATATAATAAGTCTGTGAACATGAATGTAGATAAAGAGGCCTAGTTGTGAATGATAAAT